AAAAATCTTCCAATAATCCTCGATTGCTCCTTTTCAGATAGCTAGACATGATGGCGACGCGACGTACAGGTCATTTACAATCACGGACTGAACTAATTTTTTGTATAAGCTGAATACATGTGGTACACACGCACCGTTTCGCTTGCGCAAGCATGGCTTGTCCAAGCTTGCATGATTCAAATTCAATCAATCATCAAGCGGCTTGCACAATTAAAATGCTTGCGCAAATTTTCCCTACAGACGCTACAGTTTGCTTGTACAAAAAGATTGTTCATGCATACTTGTCAAGCTTGCAGTAGTATGTGTAGCCACCTAAAACACCCAAACGAATGGGATGGGATTGACGGACGAAGCCATGTGCAGGTTCTGTCAATCTGATGAAGGATCTACCGAACATAATTTATGTCGGTGAAACAGCCTCTGTGTTTAAAAACTCCATTATAACATTTAGTAGATAAATTTAAGAACTTGGGCATCTGGCTCTCCGAAGATTGGACATCAGACAATGAAATTAAATGTCGCATCGAACAAACTCGGCAGGCATTTTTGAGGTTCCAAAAATAACTTGTCTGTTCTGATTTTGACCTTAACCTCAGATTAAGATTCGTAAAGCGTTACGTGTGATCGGTACTCCTTTATGGTATGGAAGGTTGGATATTGAAAGCAGTGGCCATTAATAAACTAGAGGCTTTCGAGATGTGCCTATATAGCAGAATTCTGAAGATACCTTGGACGGCTAGGTTAACAAATGAAGAAGTTCTGAGACGTGTTAACAAAGAGGGCGAATTGTTTTAAGATTAAGAAGAAAAAAACTGCATACCTGGGACACATAATGCGAAACCCCAAATATCAGTTCTTGCATCTGTTAATCGAAGGCAAGATCGAAGGCCGGAGGAATATCGGAAGGAAGAAAATGTCTTGGCTGAGGAATGTTGACAGTGGACAGGCCTACACGTCGTACAGTCGTTAATAAACAACGCCAGGAATAGAGAAGCGATGGAAAATGTTATCGCAAACATCCATTAATGGATTTGCACAAGAAGAAGAAGACAACAGCCGGCAAATGGGCGATTCTCTGTACTAGACAATGTTGGAGGGCTCAGTCTCCAAATTGCTAGACTTTTTGAAAAGAATAGGACTGGTGAATCGAACCTAAGGATCAGAAAAGGACCACAATAGATCTGTTTAATAAAGTCAAAATCAAAGTGTGTATTAATAAATGAAATGCTCAAAGTTTATTAAACGTTTTATTAAACAAAAGTCCAATTCTGATGTTATTCGTAAAGTATACGATACAAATTTTAGTATTGCGTATAAAGAATGAAGAATACTTAACCCTTTTTCAACAATTTTAATTTCCCCTTTAAACTTTAGACAACCAAAATCTGATATATTATAATTGTTGTTATTCTGAAAAATATAGTCCTGATTTTTCAAAAAAAATTATGGAGACATCCTATACCTACTTCCCTATTGAAATATGATTTAACTGATATTATTACATTATTTATGCATGCTTATAATTAAAATATTTTAGTATTTCATACACACACATATACAATAACCAAATGAAAGCAAAGGGATCGCTCCAAATAGATTCAATTTGTCTCTAAAACGATTCCAACTGGACCATTATAATCCCATCGAAGCATCTGATCGGGGAGGCGGCATATGTTTGTCCTCGGAGGGGGATGAGATGCGCCCCTCGTTATGGAATTATTAACTTTTACCACGTGCAAAATAACTGTAACGAAAAATGAGAGGGGGCCTAGATTTAATATCTACTAATTCGGCGTGGCCAAAACAAATCGCGGGAATAATTTGAGTTTGAGGGTGTCGAAGTAAGTCACTTTTAGTTTCTAGGTTGGCCCCGTTGAAATTTTGCTATAAAAAAATCACGCCTCTGAAAAACAAAATACAGTAAAAACTATGATGAATGGTTATCTTTTATAACAAACGCTTGTGGTAATAGACCAGATTTAAAATTATGGATAGCTCTATACCAGGTGTATTTCAAAAATAACTCACCCCTATAACTTTTTTAGTTTTTTAAATAAAAAAACGAAATTTGGTACGTTAGTATATGACATAAATCAAGACTGATTGACGTATTCAATTGTTTCCAGTCACTTGCTCACCGGGAATGACTACAACTTTTCGATAGAAAATGACACTTTGAATACAGTGACATATCGTCCCATTGCTGCCAAAAGTCACTAACTTAGTTTTTATTACTTCCGAGAAAAACGCGTCTAAAGATGAATTGTATTGCATAAAGTTGTTGTTAGTAACTATTCGGTATTAAAATACAGCCTAAATAGCCAGAAATCGTAGTTAATGACTTTTGCAATCGATTCTCCGCTTCAAAATATAGTTAGTGATTGAATTTTCAGGTTATTCGGAAAAATGTTAGTTAGTGACTTTTAGCAGCAATAGGACGATATTATACAGGGTTGTCCGAACTGTATTCCGGAAACTTCGGTAGCATATTCTGCAGATAAAAATAAGTAAAAAAGTTCTTATAAATGTATGTCGTAAAATGCTTAATTTCGGAGATACAGGGTGTAAAAGTCTCATTTTTATTTCGATTTTTTTCAAATACTTTCTGAAGTAACGTCAATATTTGGATGAAATTTGGTGTCTGGGAGTTTTTTGATACGAGAAATTTGGATTTTGATGTCAATATGACTCCTACTTGTAGAGGGCGCCACCTACATATTTTTAACTTGTTTGAAGAGTAAGAACTTTTCGTCCGTACCTGTATAAAACTACTAAGTAAAAAATATATATTTACGACGTTTATAACGTAAAAAATGTCTCTTAATAAAAATCGCTACGAGTAATAATTCTCGAGATATTTGAAATCGAAATTATCAGTACCTCTGTCATCATTGACATAAATTAAACATGACTTAATAGACTGAAATCATAAATTTGAAATATTTTGTGCCAAATCATTATCAATCATCATTTTTTCCAAGAAAATTTTATGATTAATTTAAAAAAAAATAAAAATTTCCCAAATTTATCATTTCAGTCAAATATCTACTCAACATGTTTAATTTTTGTCAATAATGACATGTATTGACTATCTCCATTCTAAATATCTCGAGAAGGGTTGTTCGTAACGATTTTTACCAAGAGACATTTTTCACCTAAAAATTACGAAAATGTATATTTTTTCACTCAGTAGTTCTATACAGGTACGGACAAAGTTATTACTCTTCAAAACAATTAAAACACATGTAGGTGGCGCCCTCTACAAATAGAAGCCATAATGACATGAAAATTAAATTTCTCATGTCAAAAAACTACCAGACACCAATTTTCATTCAAATATTGACGTTACTTAAGAAAATATTTGGAAAAAAATGTATTACTTTACTTTTTATCTGCAGAATATGCTACCGAAGTTTCCGGAATACAGTTCGGACCACCTTGTATATGTGAAGTTTTAAGATTATCGCTTAAAAAAATCGTATTTTAAATTTCAATCTACGGTATGTCCCCGGATTGTCTTTACAAGAGAGAAAACCTTTTTTATTATTGACATTTTGAGGAAAAATACATTGAGAAGCAGGCTGTATTCATAACGATAATTTGATTCGAAATATCAAGACACAAAACACAAGACACAAAAACATTAGAGATCAAATTTATTTTTCTAAGGCTTCTTCATTAAAAACCAGTGTTTTTAACATAGGCCATGGTACTCTAGATTGAAATCTAAAATACGATTTTTTTAAGCGAAAATGTCAAAACTTGACGTATGATATGTCGTTATATTCCAGAGGGTCATTTTCTATGAAATAAAGTAAAAAAATACCGAGGGTGCCATTTAAAAATCAAAAATTGTAGTCATTTCCGGTGAAACAGGAAGTGGCCGAAAACAATTCAATACGTCAATCAATCCTAATTTATGTCATATATCAACTCTTTATCAATATACCCATGTTCAAAATTTCAAAAACAGATAACATTACAGGTGTTTGAGATATTTGGAAGTATCCAAACTTTAGGCTGATCCAATCCCAGTGAGTGAATATTTTGTCACATTTAAAAAACAGTTACGTTTCTGTGTTTTATTCATGCGACCAATTGCATACACATGTTTCGAAACTGTTACTCTTATGTGCTCAGTATACGTAGGAAGTGAAGCACGATGACACAACGCATTTTGGGCAAAAATTCGAAATTCTGTCAATGCATGTGTGAACTAATTCACAAATAAGGCACTTATAACTTTTTCTTATACTACTGATTTTTTAAAATTTACCAAGAAAATTATTCTCTCACACATCGTTGTCGCAATAGATATATTTTTCTGCATAATAAATTGTTAAAAATGTTTTCATCTTAATTAAAAAAAAATCTGATGAAACAATACTTATCATATTAATTTACTTTCAATCCATCTCTTTACTTCATAAACAACCAAATAAATAAAACAATTAAATATATCCCAAAAAAATTAAACAAAAACATAATTAGCAATTTTTTAAAATGACTAAAATTATAAATAATAATCATTTAAAAAAATATGTTTTTGATTTGGGAATATCATAGCAATCAATGTCATTAGTAGGTAAATATTTTTTATCTCATTAAAGTATAATGATACAGTAAATACTTCCAACAATTTTTAAAATAATAATAAATTTTTAGTTATTTAAGAATACAAAATATTTTAGGCAAAAATATGATTTTAAGACAAAGCTTTCAAAACTACCCTCCCAACAAATTTGCTGAATTTAATAAAACAACATAAATTTCAATAAATCTCTTCCCTTACCAAAGTCAATACCGTTACAACCAACAAAATCCACCCTTACGTACTCTCACCCTAAAAAGCAAACTGCAATACCCCGGCACACGTATCAGGTTTCTCGATTTCTATTGGTTGGAAATAAGGGTAGAACCTCCCTCATTTTAGGGCCCACCCTTAAAGCTCAGAATATCTAGATAGCCCTTTGAAATCAAATCAGAGTGATCAAGTGCAGCAGTTGTTTGAAACAAGTGTAGGTGCGCTAATTTCGGAGATTATAGTGTGATCTTTTTCGGAAAAAATCGTATAATAAGTTAGTTGTTACTAATGAAAATGTCTTTTACTAGTGACCATGGGCCGTGGGAGAATAATAATGTGAGAAAATTTAAGTATTAAATTACACTCAGATGCAAAAAAACGCAACAGAGAATTTTTTGGTCAAATTTAAAGTGTTATATTATTGTTATTTTTAGCCCTATTTGCATGAATTTTTTAGCAAACTGTACATAATTATATCAACTTTAATTCGTAAACTCAGTTTTTTGTAAACTTTAGTAATTGGCATATCATACAGGGTTATTTCAGGTGTTGTTTTTTTATCTTAACTTTAAAACACCCTGTGGAATAATTTTGTGTGTAAATTTTCCTAAAATGTAATTTTACGGTAAGAACCATATCTCCTGAGCATTTTGTTTTTTGGGTCACGTCAATGCTTGCTTTGGTTAATTTTTAAGAGCAAAATGAACTGATCACGATCAATTTGCAATTTTTACAATTATCATTATTTTTGATGTAATTTTTTAAAAAGACGAGTTGGTCTTGGTGACTATTGTCGTAACGTCATATTACGCTGCAGCAGATACTTCATACTAAATTTAAAAAAATCGTTAAAGACTAACGATACACAGTCCTGGTTGTAATAAACATAAATAACGATACCAGAACTAACGATATTAAGGAAAACATATGTAATACTAAAGTATACACACAGAAAAAAAATTGTAAAAATTACCCTAATACTTTGTATTGCCTCCCCTGGCTGCTATAACTGCCTGTATATGTTTGTTCATACTGTCATTGAGGCTACATATATCATATTGCGTTATGTTTTCCCATTCTTCTTTAAGGACCAAGCGAAGTTCATTTAATGATAATAAATCTAGAGATAATATAATTTAATGGTACCGCTTCGCGACCTCTAGACCCTCCTACCAAGCATTTCCCAAACGTCGAACATGATGGGCAGTTCGTAGTAGTATATAGTTCACAATAATCACCAAAGCTGCCTTGTCATGTTGAAAAAAAAATTCAAAAATAAATTATAATTGAAAAAATTGCAAATTCTTGGTGGCAAGTTCATTTCGCTCTTAAAAATTAACCAAGGCCAGGCCTGGGGTATCTAGCGCCTACGTGCAGCATTCTTTGGTGCGCCCTTTTTATATTTAAATCAATTATATATTTTAATCTTAATCTCAAAAATTTAAAGAATTTATATTCTGCGACATACGAGCAATATGTTATTGGAAATGTAAAAAAACTATTCTAATTAAAGTATAAAAACATTTATTAAATAAAGAAAACAAACAAAACCACAAAAATATTTAGTAACAAAAATAGTACCCCAAAGATAAAGAAAAAAACTGACCCATTTTATATGAAATACATAAAAACAATAAACTAAAAATCGGAAATAATATGCATGTACTGATTTCTTTCGAAAATCGACAACTATGAAACTATGAACCCTTCCCGGACATAAACGGTACATTGTGAGGCAGGAAATTGTAGAGAGAAACAAGCCCTATAACATAGGATACAACATTTTAATGAACAGTGCTTTCCATAAAATCAATAAAATGAAAAGTATACGAAATAATATACATGTACTGATTTCTTTCGAAAATCGACAACTATAAAACTTTGATCCCTTCCCTGACACAAACGGTATATTGTGAGACAGAAAATTGTAGAGAGAAACAAGCCCTATAACATAGGATACAACATTTTAATGAACAGTGCTTTCCATAAAATCAATAAAATGAAAAATATACGAAATACATGTACTGATTTCTGTCGAAAATCGGCAACTATGAAACTATGATCCCTTCCCCAACACAAACGGTACATTGTGAGACAGAAAATTGTAGAGAGAAACAAGCCCTATAACATAGGATACAACATTTTAATGAACAGTGCTTTCCATAAAATCAATAAAATGAAAAATATACGAAATAATATACATGCATGAAACTTTGATCCCTTCCCCGACACAAACGGTACATTGTGAGACAGGAAATTGTAGAGAGAAACAAGTCCTATAACATAGGATACAACATTTTAATGAACAGTGCTTTCCATAAAATGAATAAAATGAAAAATAAATAGATGAGATCAATGTGTTGCCGACAGATTGCCCTAGACTTGTTTATTCGGTGCGGCCAACGCAAAAAAGACGCTAAGCAAACTTTATCCTATGATGTATGTTTAAGTATTTGTTTATTAACAAGAAAGCGTATCGGTTTTTTGTTACAAAGTACTGATTGACACTTTGATTTTGCGCCCCCAAAATGTTGCGCCTACGTGCGTGCACGCACTGCACGCTCGCCAGGAACGGCCCTGACCAAGGCATGTATTGACATGATCCAAAAAACAAAATGCTCAGCAGGCATGGTTCTGACCCTAAAATTATATTTCAGGAAAATTTACACACAAAATGATGTGTCAAAGTTAGGGTAAAAAAACAATCCCTCGATTAACCCTGTATAATATACCAAATACTAAAGTTCATAAAAAACTGAGTTTACAAATTAAAGTTGATATAATTATATACAGCTTGCTAAAAAATTCATGAAAATAGGGCTAAAAATAACAAAAATATAACAGTTTAAATTTGACCAAAATTTTCTCCGTTGCGTTTTTTTTGCATCTGGGTGTAGATATATGAAACAATAAATAGTTTAAGATCATTTTCTATATTTTTTTGGTTTTGTATTTTTACTACAGTTGGAGGTCGGAATCTTTGGTGTTTACAACAGCAAAACAAAACACTAATTCACCACAATACGCCAAAACATTAAACGCGAGTTTCGTTAACCATGTTAGTTTTATCATCTGATGATGCTAAACATGGTTAGCGAAACGCGTTCAATGATTAAAAGAAAAGTGGTTTGGTTCATTGCGGTGATTTAGTGTTTTATTTTGCTGTTTGTGTTTTTTTTCTGTAAATATGTCAACTATCTATACAGGGTGTTAGAAAAAACATGTGCTATCTCCTCGTGGGGATACCCCGTGGATTCCTCTCGTAAAAATAAGATTTATTTTCCATATTAACATGGGTCCGATTTTGCTTTATTTCATAGCTAAAGGAAGTTAAAGTCTCCATCTTCAAATTTCATTCGAATCGCTAAAAGCACTTGGAAGAAAATTAGAATAAATAAAACAAATGAAGAGTAACCTCCTGTAGCTACGAAACAAAGCAGAATCGGACCCAAGTTGATGTGAAAAATAAAGCTTGATTTTCATGCATCCAGTGTCCGACGATACGATGATACGATATTAATTTTATTGGTTGAATTTAAAGGTTTCAATTGGTTAACCGTTTCTAACCAATCAAAGTCTTTAAATTCAACCAATAAAATTAATATCGTATCAACGTATCGTCAGATAACGGATGCATGAAAATCAAACTTAAGTCTTATTTTTACGCGAGGAATCTCCCCACGAGAGATGGCACATGTTTTCGGAAACACCCTGTATAGTTTAGTTTATTAGTACACCATTAGAAGAAACTTAACTAACATATAAACAAAATGTTTTATCTATACTAATTTATAAAATCCTTAAGTGACTGACATACTGATTAATCACGATCCTGCTCAAACCACTCAACGTAAGAAGCTCAATTTTGGCATACAGGTTGATTCTAGGGTGTAGAGGTTCAATAAGAAGGAATTTTTCGAAACTCGAATTCTAAGGGGGTGAAACTATCCCTCAAATATTAAAATATTTTTTATTTAAAAACCGGTGAGTTTTTCGGAAAAACTCTTAAACGCGTATATTTTATTTTGTTGTTTTACATATTTTAAGATTTTTTATAAATTTATACAGGGTGTTTCATACAATATGACCATTGAGTAATCACGATTCCGCTTAAACTGCTTGACGTTTAAAGCTGATTTTTGGCAAACGGCTTGACTGTGGGGTGTAAAGGTTCGATAAGGAGGGGTTTCTCGAATCTCAAATTCCAAGAGGGTGAAAACGCCCCTCAAATATTACAATATTTGTTATTTAAAAAACGGTTAGTCTTTCGGGAAAACGCTTGGATAAGCATAATTATTTGGTATTTTTACATATTTTCAAATTTTTTAAAAAATCATACAGGGTGTTCCAAAAAGTTGGGTAATTTCTTAACCACAATTCTGCTTAAACTGCTTGACGTAAAAAGCTTATTTTTGGCAAACGGATTTTTCGAAAGTCAAATTCCAACGAGATGAAACTACCCATCAAATATTACCAAGTTATATAATAATATCGCCATATTGTTTTTTCTCATGCTGACATAAATGTGAGAAAATTTTATCCGGTTTGTATGTTAATGGAAATTCTTCGCTGGTACACGCTAGTATTAACATAATTATCAAAAAGAAACATCGATCAATCAATTATACAAGAAATTAAATAGCGTCACCTCACAATAAGATATAATGGACTCACCCTACAAAGATTGCTTCTCCTCCAGCCGGCCGGCTTCAATGATGCCTTGATAACACACACAATTACACGGTTTTTTAGTAAATAAATCAAAACGTGGTACCACTTCGGTGGATCATGAGCGAGACTCTCATCACACTTCCGCTGATCCCTTGCGGGATGGGGCATGCGCCCTTCTATCTAAATGTGAGGCAGTACCGCGGACACCAAAATAAAATTACACTATATTCAAATTTTGACAATATCAAACATTCCGCCCACCAAAACAAAATATAATATATTTAATTTTACTTTAAAAAAAATAAAGAAAATTTAAATATTTGTACATCTTTGTACATCAAATACCCCATAAAATGAATTGAATTCTCTTAGACATCACACACGTAAAGTAATTGAAATAGTAGGTTTATTGATCGGGCAGAGGGCACAGTTTAACTAATGGTCTATCGAAAAAACCCTTAGTCGTTTGAATTTGCGCCACACGTACAACCTGATCTGTACCTGGATATAATTTAGTAATTCGACCGAGTAGCCAACGCAAAGGTGGTAGATTTTCGTCCTTTACTACTACCCTTGTATATGAATATAAACAAGGCTACTACTAATGTGCTAATTCTAGGCGAATTCTGTACGCTGTTCTATTTAGCTCTCTGCTGAAGTGTATGAAGATACTCTACATGCCATCTTTTCCAAAAATGTTGCTGAAGTTACTGAACTAATTGCCAACGACTTAAGCGGTTTTGCTCTCTGCTGAAGTGTATGAAGATACTCTACATGCCATCTTTTCCAAAAATGTTGCTGAAGTTACTGAACTAATTGCCAACGACTTAAGCGGTTTTGAGTCACATCGAGTAAATTTTCATCAGGAGGAGCTGTAAGTGGCTCAAGAGTTAAAAAATGTCCTGGAGTTAAGCTAACGAGATCGCTTGGATCTGGACTAGAACTACACAACGGCCTCGAATTATACCTCGATTGACAGCCTATAACACGATACGAGTCTTTACAGATTTAACAGCACTCTCCCACAAACCACCAAAATGAGGAGCAGAGGGAGGGTTAAAATGCCATTTAATAGACAATGTCTCAGAAGACTGTTTACAGTAGGATAGTAGAAGATTATAAGCTCCGATAAAATTTGTACCACGGTCACTGTACATATCTGTACATCTTCCACGCCTAGCTACAAACCTACGAAAAACTGCCAGAAAAGCTTCAGAGGAAAGATCCGAAACTGCCTCAAGATGGACAGCTTTCGTACTCATACAAACAAACACGCATATGTAAGCTTTCTGACTACGCACACCACGATGGCTTCCTAACACTATCGATAAAGGTCCAGCAAAATCTACTCCACAATGAGTAAAAGCTTTTATTTGGGCAACACGAGCCGGAGGCAAATCATTCATAAATGGTGTCAAATTGGCAGGAGTAATTCGGAAGCATCGATAACACTTTGAAAGGACATGACGAATAGCTCGTCGAGCTGATAATATCCAAAATTGTTGCAAAATTAAATATTCAAGAGTTCTAGGTCCAGGAAGCCAGTTCTTGTTATGAAATTCTTGAATAACTAACTCAGTTAGTCGATGATCCCTAGGAAGCAACATAGGATGTTTAACGTCAAATTCCAAATTAGCATGTTTTAAACGACCGCCCACCCTGAGGACTCCATCCTCGTCTAGAAACGGAGCTAATTTCCTAAGCGGTTTCGAACATGGCACCTTCTCTTTTAGTTTAAGAATATCAGCAGAAAAGACCTCATTATGCACAAATCTCACAATCACTATCAACGCCTTATAAAGTTCATAACTCAAACCCTACTTGTTGCTCGCACTTATGATTACGCAAGTTATTCACAAAACGAAGGCAATAGGAAATTATGCGTTGAATTTTACTTAATGACGAAAATTTCTGAAGAAGTTCAGAAAGAAAGTTGTCAGAAAATGTAGCCATATACACTACTTTCTTCTCTTCCAAATTTACAGCTGTAGGTATCTCGGAACTAAAACAGTTTGGCCAAGATGAATTTGATTCTGCGAGCCAGGGAGGGCCCGCCCACTACAACGAATGTGAGACGAACTGTTCTGGAAAAATACCACGCGATGCGCAGTCTACGGGGTTCACTTTACCATCTACATAATTCCAACATTCCGGAGCAACCTGTTCTTGAATATGGGAGACACGGTTGGCGACAAACGTTTTCCAACGATGGGGAGACGACCGGATCCAAGCCAATGTTACAGTTGAATCTGACCAACAAAACACTCGCCTCACTCGCACATTTGTTATGTTACTCCAAATGAATACAATACAATCTGAAAGAAGAGCTACTCTATTTTTAGAGTACAACATAGAAACCACAACTTCATGTTCAAGCACTTGCCGTAAATAAACCACTGCACCATAACCAACCTCCGATGCGTCACAAAATCCGTGAACTTCAACATCCACACATTCATCACGTATAACACACCGAGGTATAGAGAGTACAGACAAAATAGAAAGTTGCTTGTGATACAATTCCCATTGATCTACAATTTCCCTAGAAGGTAAAGCATCCCATTCCAACCCCTGAAGCCACAATTTCTGTATTAGACACTTGGCTCAAATTAAAGTAATTTAATTATATTAATTTTCCAATTTCTTTTTTATATAATTTTCTAAAACGTTTGTTTTTAGGTATATTTGTTCTTGTAAAAATGTTATTTTTACACGCATTTTTTAAATTAAGCATGATTATTAAAATAAGCACAGGTTAAAGACACCATCCACCACATTTTTGCGAATATTTAAGAACCAAAAAACCTGATTTGACTTAAAAAAAAAGGAATCCAAAACATCATTAATTCAAAATGATTATTTACATCAAATACGCAAAAGTTTTACGTTGGTTTTTAAGATTGTTTATGTTTGTTTAATTTTGCACACATGAGCTAAATCTTTTATCCTTCTTTATGTACCGTAACCGAGAAAAAGTTCTCGTATTGTATAGATGGGTATTTTTTTTCATTATAAAAGTTTATCTCATCAAGGAGGCCGAATTCGACAAAATATCAAGAGATAACTTTTAATTGGCATTAAACGGCCAACACAATTTTGATATCAAAAGAAAAAAAGTCAGTGGCGCACATGATTTTTTTTAAATATTTCAGTTTACCGGAAAACCCATATGCACGTCCCTGATGAATTTATCGACACATTTATAACATTAAAATATGTAGCACTTCTAGTAACTTTTACCCTCAAATTTCATTCAAAGCACTAAAAGTACTTGGAAGAAAATTATAATATATCGACACATTATTAAGAATTTAACACCTTATAGCTACGCAACAAAGCAGAATCGGACCTATGTTGATATGAAAAATAAATATTATTTTTACATTAGGAATCTCCCCATGAGAGATGGCACATGTTTTTTGAAACACCCTGTATATTTTGGTCAACGCCTTTTCTTTAACAGTCCTACCTTGGTCGCAGCCATGGTTCTACCTAATGGGGATATTATTTTCCTGGGTTTTAAAGAGATGTAGTTTCATCGTAAAAAATCCTAATAACCATAAACAAATATACAGGGTGTAACGAAATAGAATGAGAAAATAAAAATGGCTTAGAAAAGTATGAAATAATATGTTCTTTTTGTTGTTTTTAATTGTTATAATTTAGAGTTTATTTTATTAAAAGATGTATTGTTAATAGGGCGCCGAATTTCCGGGCTACCCAAATGATATAAATGGCTACGGACCGTTATGGGACCCACATCACTTTCCTGGACAAAATCCACCTTTGGGCAGTTATCCAGACATTCTCACAGCTTTTAATTCGGACTTAGGTAAGTAAATTCTAAACTTGTACTAACCCCTATTTTTATAAAGTAAAAACGAAAGATAATATGTTTTTTCCAACCGGACGAGAGAACCGTCCTAGAACGGTAATTTCCTATCAGTCAATTCATTTGTTAATCTTGACAAACAATCAAACTTTTCAAACAATAAGTGGGCGACTAGAAATTATCGTCCCAGGATTGGTTCTCGGTCCGGTTGGAACGAACCTAATATTTACAAATTTTCATCAAAATGTAGATACATGACGGTGACAGGTCTGTGATTTTAATTTAAAATAAATTGTTTTTGTGTCAATTTTTGGATGTCGTCTATATTGGGCCATATGTCGTCTTACTTTAGACTTTAGAGAAGGTCTGTTCAACGAAAGAATACCTGACAGTTTCAGTTGTCATTACGGAGTCTACCTTGTCATTTTATCTCAAAGATCTCAGAAAATATTGTATTTTCTGTCATTTTTAGATGTCTTCTGTCGAAATCTTCACCCTATCTCGTTGGACCGTCTATATTTTCTCCTGTTAGTAATTTTAACAACCTACCATACGCATTGGGATTTACTGAACCCAGCTTATATCATATTATCGAAAAATAACGGCGTCAAAGACGGCTGAGGAAGGACAATCGATAATAATTTTGGCAAGGCCAATCTCTAGACGGCATTTATTAAAAATTTACATAAAACTTCAAAAACGTCAAAAATTAAAACTATTTATAGAGAAACTAAAAAAGGATAGAACATTTCCAGACACACAAATCTATTTCCAAAAAATTATATTTCTCGAATTTGAAACTACGCCATTTAAAAATCATTTTTACTCCGTATAAAAATAAATTAAACCCTTTTTAAGGCCAATAAAAATAATAAAAAAGTATGGACCAAATAATGACATCTAGGACTTGACCTCGCTAAAATTGTAATCAACTGTCATTCCCAGCCGTCTTTGAAGCCGTTTTTTTTCGAATGGTAAATTCCTATAAGTAAATATTTAATAATTTTATTTTAGTTTGGCCACGGCAACAATGCGGTGGTTTGGTGTCCAACAGAATAGGAAGAAACAGTACTTCCAATGGTACCCAGTCAACAAAGAAAACTAGAAGGAGGGTGGCCACTATGGCCCAACGCAGAGCAGCTAACATCAGGGAGAGAAGACGAATGTTTAACCTAAACGAAGCGTTTGATAAACTGAGACGAAAGGTACGTAGATCGTACCTTGGATTTCTGCCAAAAGACTTTTTAATAACACTCTTTCGGCTTTTTAATTATTCTTTGTAGAAATCTATTCGAATAATATTTATAAATATATTAAAATAGTATAAGATAATATTTTTATAATAAAACTATAGAGATATTCTTGCAAGTCTACGATATTTTTATAGTTATAGGTTTGTTCCACAGCCTATTCATTAGGCAGCCAGTCGACTTCATTTACATATGGAACTCTGCTTTTACATATATGGAACAGAGCGAAATATATGTTCATGGTTAGCAACAATGAATTAAAAAATCGCGCCCTCGATTACGTAACTAAAATTTTAATTGGTATCGCTTATAGGAAGTCGACTGGCTGTCTAATGAATAGGCTGTTGTTTATTCTAACAACTCTTTTGTAGGTTCCAACATTCGCATATGAAAAACGGTTGTCTAGGATCGAAACGCTCCGTCTGGCCATTACCTACATAAGCTTTATGACAGAACTATTACACGGGCATCCCTTAGACCACAAAAGTGGCGAAATATATTCTCAAAGAGAATACATTCCATACGGAATAATTAACTAAGTACTATATGCAATGCATCTTGTCAATTTTTGTCAATGTAAACATTAAATATTTGTGAACCGATGGCAGGCGTTATGTATACAGGGTGCTACAAATTCGAGGTACGAGCATTGGTATCTCGGAAACCGTAATAGGATACGAAGATGGTTAAATTGGAGCAAAGTTGAGCCTTGATGAAAAGTTCACCAAGATGCCATCAAAAAAAGTTTTAAAAATTTCAAGGATTGCTGAGTTTTTTTGGAAGAAGCGGACTTTTGGAAAATCAATTTTATTTTTTTCTGTTTTTTGTTTAGAAAATCAAAAAATTAATTGCACATTCTCATTGCCACTTTATTAGGGCTATCTGATAGTATTTTTAGATTCTCAAGTTAGCTGATAATTTGTGAGATACAGTGACCAACTTAATTGTTTTAAATACGGACCTGCATTTTTTATTTCAGGTTTTGAAAGAACTCGGCCTCCTGAGTATAATGATAGGCCGCACTTAATACTTTTTTTTTGTTTTGGGTACCTTAACAACAACAAAACTAGTTAATTATTATTTAAAATAATTTCAAGTACGACTCTGGTTTTTAAAATTATTTAATCTGATTATATTCATCGCAACAATATTGATCAGCGCTAATTAACATTGAATAAGGAAAATCGAGCCAATTCAAAGATTCAAATAAATAATATATCCAGGTCAGCAATTTAAAGATATTATTTTTAACTTTTTTTATTGTGAACTTGGAATTTCAGTGTACGATCTAATAATATTCATAATATTAATCGTAGTTGTTATAAATAAATCAACTTCTATAAACTAGTTTCTAATGCTCTATATGTTCGAAAGGGTTACCAGTTACCACCCTTCCTATTACACAAATTTATTTTTTGTTCAATCTTATTTATAGCTCTTTGAACTTTGAACATAACTTCTTGTTATAATTCCGAATGCATTGTACCCAAAGTGGCAATGAGAATGTGCAATTAGTTTTTTGATTTCCCAAAAAGTAACGCCAGGAAAAAATAAAAATGATTTCCAAAAAACTCGGCAGTCCTTAATTTTTTTTTTTTGATGGAATCTTGGTGCACCTCCTAAAGCGGAACTTTGTCCCAATTTAATCATGTTCGTATCTATTACGGTTACTTACTTGTATCTCGAATTTGTAGCACCCTGTATAGTATTCATACCACAACAAGTAAATGGTTAAATCCTTTAGTTTCGGTCGTATATCTATTTTAAAATTGAGTAATGTATGAAAAGGGCTATTAATTACAGCATTGGTTGATTTTGTTCTGTTCAGTTAACAATTTTATTATTGTTAACCGAACCAATTGAGTACCTAATAAAATTCTCATTTGTGCATACGAATGTAGTCTTTTTACTTATTCTATGCTACAAAACAAGAATATGCTGTATAGGTACCGCATTATCACAAAAAACTTTAGTTGGCTTGGAAATGAACATCGATAGCATATTCCTCATATAATTTTACATTGAAAATTACAGCGACCTTCATTATTTCATTGCCATCGCTGACGCTGTTTTTTCTATCATATTGTACCGCATGATCGAAAATTATACACGTTTATTTCTGTGATGTTAATTTAAGTATGTACATATTTATATATGTTCCAAAGTGTTTTTGTTATTAAGCTCCGTCTACACTGAACGTTTTACCTGGCAGGTAATACTGAAAAGTGTATGCTGAAAGTTCTGCCATGGTTCTGCCTGCAGTTTTATCAATTATAGCATTTTGTGTGTAATGACGTCGAAAAGAAAAAAACATGAAATTTGACTAGGTACAAAATTGTATTTATGGTTTAAATTTCATTTGTAAGAACGTAAAAAACTTAATTTGTAAACACGTAAAATTCATTGTAAAAATTGTATTCGTTCGGTAATTATCATTAAATATATCTAAAAGTTTATCCATATATTTTTAGGGTAGGAAAAAGACAATTATTGTATTGTTAAAACTGAACGATTCGGCAAATCCTCTAGACGGTTTTCTGTCTTAATTTATCAATTTCGGACAGGTAAAACATTATGTGTAAACGGGGCCTTACTTAATTTAATAGAAATTATCATTTATTTATATTACTTTTAAATGGAGTTACTAAAAAATAATTAATTTTAAATACAAGCATTAATCATTTATTTTAAGCATTGTAATGTTCTTTTTAATAGATGTAATTAAAAAGTCTGCAAAAAATCGTCAGTCTTCCAATATATTATATTTAAATTCCTAAGGAAATAAAGTTTCCCTTAACATGAAAATGTTGTTTCAATGATTTGACTTATTTGATGAACCTTTTCCTTTTGATGCCTATTGCATTTTTTCTTTGCAAACCTAAAGCATGTACGAGGGTGTATTTCAGGAAAATATTTTAACTTCTATAGGGTAGAACACCCTGT